TCAGTTGGGGGGAAATAGGGGAGGGACGGTGGGGGGTGGGGAGCTGGGGAGAGATAGCAAGGGGAGAAATGCCAGATGTAGGTGATGGGGAGGAAGGCGGCAAATCACACTGCCACGTGTGTTCTTATGCAATAATCTTGTGTGTTCTTCACATGTACCCCAAAACCTAAAATGCAATAAAATAAATTGGGAAAAAAAAAGATGTATACTATTAAAAAAAAAATTAAATAAATATATAAATAACAAATTCTTAGAAACATACCATCTACCAGTACCGACTCAAGAAGAAATGGATAATCTCAACAAACCTAATACAAGTAGAGATTGAATCAATAATCAAAAACTTCTTAACAAAGAGAAGTACAAAATCAGACAGCTTCCCTGACGAGGTCAACCAAACATGTAAAAGAGAATGAACAACAATCCTATTCAAACTTAAGAAAAATACAAGAGGAAGAAATAGTTTATAACACATTCTATCAAAGCTGGACAAGATACCACAAGAAAACTACATACTACTTAAATCTTCATGGAGACAGATTCAAAACTCTACAACAAAATACTAGTAAGCCAAATTCAACAGCACATTAAAAGACTTACATACCATGACCAAGTGTGATTTATCCCAGGAATGTAAGGGTAGTTCAAAATAAGAAAATCAATGTGATACAACACATTAATAGAATGAACACACACACGAGTGTACAAAATTCAACAATCTTTCATAGAAAAAAACATACCATACTAGGAATAGAAGAAAACTTCCTTATTCTAATAAAGGACATCCATGAAAAATTCACACTTAACATCATACTCAATAAATAGTGAAAACATTCTCCCTAAAATCAGAAATAAGGATGTCCAATTTCATCACTGATATTCAACATTATTAGAAGTCCTAATCAGAGTAATTAGGCAAATAAAAGAAACAAAAGGCATCTGAACTGGAAAGGAAGATGTAAAACTATTTCTATTTGAAGATGACGTGATTCTACTTACAGAAAATCCTGAAGAATCCACTCAAGAAAAAACAACTAACGCTAATAAATTAAGCAGTTACAAGGTACAAGAGCAGCAAACAAAAACCAGCTGTTTCTAATAACAAACATTTCTAAACAAATTACAGCCCCCAAAACACTTTACATATATATTTAATCTTTACAATCCCCTATTAAATAGAGCTCTCTTCACTAAATGTACTGCCCTCCTTATACCAACTTGTATTAAAGGCAATTGATAAATCTTTACACCTAAAAATAAATGTACGGCATATAAAAGTATCTGTTCTCCTATCTCCTGAGGTACAACAGCAGTTTTAAAAAGAAAAAAAGTTCTGCATCTTAGAAATCGGAAGTACCATTTGGATGGTTAGGAATTTCCTAAATAAATGTAAATTTTACTATGCTAAAATAAAAATAAAAATAATAATTTAGGCAAGAGATGCTTTTCTCTCATTTTCAACACAGAAATATTATGAGCCTTGTTTCATGTTTTGCATTTTTAACAGTGGGACTCTCTTAATTCCTCCACCCAATCCCCACAAGAATATATGAATGAGTGCACGTGTGCAGGTACACACTTTACTTCTTGAACTGGAAAAAACAGACATCACTGTAACTAACTACATCCTACTCCCAAAACCCTAACTCCGGACCCCGCCCCGCTCAAACCCCTCCCCTTTCTCCCACTGCGGGTTCGAAATTGGCGCAGTTAGATGACGTAAGACGCACCCGCCGTACCCTCCACTGTGTAACTACCGCCCCTGACTCTGGGAATTGAAGTTTCTGTGGAAGGAAGCTGGAGCGGTAACCAGGCCAACCCAGGAAGGCTTTTTTTCTTAGCTTTCACTTCCCTGTAAACTCTTCAGCTCGGTAAGTGTCCTGGCACTGGCTGGCGGTCGCCGTAACTTGGGTATTGTTCGGGCGCAAAGGTGCGCGTGCTATGCAGCCCTCGACTAGCAAGAAGGGCTTCCGGGGGAGAGTGGAGCGGTAGTATGGAAGTGGTTGCCTGCGGCGCTGTTGCTGAAGGAAATGACGTTGAGGATAAGCGCTTCCCCACTCCCCCCCCCCCCCCCGGCGGCCTACTCAGCTGCTCTCTGGTTCGCCAGCGGCAGCTTAATCCCGCCCCTGGAGTGCGTTCGCTGGCGGGGAGCCTAGAAGGGACATTGGGCGACGCTCCGCCCACACGGTGGGGCCTTTTCAGTCGGCGTGTGTTTTGGGGTTGCAGTCGGCCCGTAGTATGTGAAAAGTGAGTTTGCAAAGAATGAGAGGGAAATCTGTACTCTAAAGGGCCGGAAAGCGTGTTATGCCCCTGCCACTTCGTGGCTAGAGACCGTAGGCTTTACAAAGCTGCCTTACCTTATTTTTCCTGGGAGGGGCTGACGTGGCTGAGCCCTCTGAAATGTAGAGAGCCTGAGGGGAAGCTGCTGCAGGTGCTGTGAGCTGTTGAAAAGATCGAAGTGTTACTTGATTTCACTGACATACTTTCAATTTGGGGATTTTTTTTAAAGATATGAAGACAAGTTACTTGTCACTTTCTGAAAGAATCTCCTCTGCCCAAAAGGCTTGACTGCTGAAGTGAACAAAGGGCTTCTCGCTGCTCCACGTTTAGCCAGCACGTCTTTAAAAGGGCATTACTGGCCGGGCGCGGTGGCTCACGACGGTAATTCCGACACTTTGGGAGGCCAAGGCGGGTGGATCACCTGAGGTCAGGAGTTCGAGACCAGCCTAACAGGGTGAAACTCCGTCTTTACTAAAAATACAAAATTAGGCGGGCGTGGTGGCGAATGCCTGTAATCCCAGCTACTTGAGAGGCTGAAGCAGAATTGCTTGAACCCGGGAGGCGGAGATTGCAATGAGCCGAGATTGCGCCATTGCACTCCAAGCTGGGCAAAAGCGAAACTCCATCTCAAAAAAGAAAAAAAAAAAGTGTCACTATCAAGTCATTAATTCCATTCTGCATTATTTTCACGTTCGTTCAGATTTTTCTGGAAGTGAGACTGTCATAAATTACCACGATTGTTTATCCCAATTCAAAACTTATGCAGTTTTAAAAATTTTTTTTTTCTTTTAGTCTTCATTGATTTAAGATGTATCCTCCTTGCCTTAAGCTGTGCTAAGATACAGAAATACAAGGAAGATTGAGATAGTTTGTAAGCCCACCTGATAACCTGTATCTGCGAATGAACCCTAGTAATTTTTAAAATTTTTGCTAAGTAAAATTTCACACATATATCCATATATTTGTGTGAAATTATATATATATGATATATGATATATTTTGGGAGATGGAGTCTTACTTTGTCGGTGCAGTGGTGCGATCTTGTCACACTGCAACCTCCACCTCCTAGGTTCAAGCGATTCTTCTGCCACAGCCTCCCGAGTAGCTGGGATTAGAGGCGTCCAAACCACCACACCTGACTAATTTTTGTATTTTTAGTAGACAGGGTTTTGCCGTGTTTGTCAGACTGGTCTCGAGCACCTGACCTCAGGCGATCTGCCCACCTCAGCCTCCCAAAATGCTAGGATTATGGGCTTGAGCCACTGCGCCCGGCCTCACACAAGTATTTTTATAGTTAATATAAAATACGTTCTTGAACATTTGGTGAACTTGGTTGAATGAATGAAAATGTACTGTGAGCATCACTGCATGTGAGAAAGGAATGCAAAATTCTACTATAGAATTCTATACGTTATTGCCCAAACTAAAACAATTAGAAAGCAAGTATACCTAATAAAGTGCTATGTTTTGCTTAACAGGTAATCTGAACATGCTAGTACATAGTGCAGTGTAGTTATACACTATACTTATTGTATAGTGTAGACAGTGTGAGTCGGTAGATATATTTGTATGCTATAAGGAATAATGTATATCAAGCTTGCATCATTTTTGTTGCATTCCATTGTCTCAATGCACCTAGCTTATTTAAAATCTAAAAACTTAGTACAGTGCGTTTTCTTAATTATGAATAGTTTAAAAAAAGATGATGATGATGATGATGTTAGCCAGCCTATGACCTTTCCTTGTATTTGAGAGACTGAAACATTACAATGCTATGACAGGTCAAATTAAATTAAAGACTTCTTAGATAGGAAAGGCAAATGCTCCCCCTGGTGTACATGAGCTGTAAAACGTTACATTGCTTTTTAAAAAATCTTCACTTAGGCCAGGCGCAGTGGCTCACACCTGTAATCCCATTACTCTGGGAGGCCAAGGCGGTGGGATCACGAGGTCAGGAGTTAGAGCTCAGCCTGACCAACATGGTGAAACCTTTCTCTACGAAAAATACAAAAATTAGCTGGGCGTAGTGGCGTGTGCCTGTAATACTAGCTACTCAGGAGGCCGCGGCAGTTGAATCGTTGAACCCAAGAGGCGGATGTTGCACTGACCCGAGATTGCCCCACTGCACTCCAGCCTGGCCATAGAGCAAGACTCAAAAAAAAAGAAAAAAAAAATCCATACATAGAGCTAATCAACACATCCAGTTGTTGAATAAAATAGAGAACTGAAAATGATACCACTGATAAAAGGAAATGTGCTCTCTTGGAATATTAATTTTTATTTCATGAAGAGAGCAATTTGTTTTCTGTGAATTTTAATTGTGCTTTTAAGTTTCCTCCACCAGGCATTGTTTTAGATACCTGTATTGCTGAATTTTATTTAATGTATTGTATATTGAAAGAAAGTAAAAAGTGAGCCTGCGAATCAAAATATATATGTTTAAATTTTTTCCTTCTAGTCTTTTTAGGCTTTTTCAGTTTCCCCACATCTAGTTCCTTACACTGAATGCTTACCTTACTTCCTAGCTTTTTAAAAAAAGTAATGAATGCATTCATGGCTATATATATGTTTATCTCGAATTACCTTTTTCCCTGTGTCCCTCTCATTCTGTTATTCAAGTCTTAACTGCTCCTCCATATTATTTTTCTGTTCTGTTTTTGTCTGCATACCGAGTCAGATTGTCAGGATATCTTTTAAATCGTCATTACCCCTTGGCACGCCAAATAATCTGGAGTTTGTCTCTTCCTTTGAACTTTTTATGTCTTCATTTTCTGGTTTTCAAATTGTTATTTTTCATGGATTCTTGTTTTGCTTTTTAGGAAAGGCTGCTTTTGTATCACAATTTTCTGTTTTGTTTTTATAGTTCTTATTTCCTTATGACCTCTCTGAAATATCTCAGCCAAATTTACTTTAAAGTCATTTTCAGATTTCCCTATTTTTAATTTGTGTCAAGTGAATTTTTTCCTGGTTATTGATTTCATTTTTAAAAATCAGTTTTTTCTTTTTGTAATTTCCCTCATTCGACAGCATTAAAAAAGACTACAGAAAAGATGCTTTTTATCTTTAAAATATTTTTTTCTTTTCTTAAAAACAATAATTTTCATTACATAAACTTTAGAAAATGCATAAAACCATAGGTAAGAATTAAACATGTCTGTGTGTATACTTTTTTTAAAAAAGTTGGTCATAATGTATATATGTTTTTTTCTTTGATTTTATTTAACTTATACCCATTTCCCCTTATTAAATAATTTTGGATATATAAGTTTTACTGGCTTCTTCACATTCCTTGCCTGTGTTATACATTAACTATAATTGTTTGGTTTTCTTTCATTGACATTCAAGCGGCTTCTAACTTTTCACTGTTAAAAATAACACTGTATTGCCTCTACTCTTGTGTACATTTTTGTGTGCATTTCTAATTTCTTTGCAGAAACTTAACCAATAGTATATGGAACCCCCCATTTCTTCAGACCTTTGCTAGCATTGCTGATGAATGATACTTAATTGATATTAAATGGCATTTAAATGATATTTACCAATAAATGGCATTTGATTGTCTGAATTTTTATTTTCATCCTATTATTTTAGTTTTTTAACTTTTTTGTGTTTGTAAATTATCTGTTCATGTCAAAAGTTGTTTTTCAGAGGTACCAAATAATGTCATCTGAAATGTTGCCAGCATTTATTGAAACTTCTAACGTTGACAAAAAGCAAGGCTTAAATGAAGATCAAGAGGAGAGCCAGAAGCCAAGATTAGGTGAAGGGTCTGAACCAATATCTAAAAGGCAAATGAAAAAACTAATAAAACAGAAACAATGGGAAGAACAACGGGAACTCCGGAAGTATGTGTTTCAAAATGTATATGCTCTCTTTTTATTTAGAAATATGGAATGTTAGACCTTGCATAGCTCTTTGGCATATTAAGTGTAATTGTGTTACTTAAAATTCAATCACTAATTTTAGACAAAAGTGAAAAGAAACATGCAAGAGAAAAAAATTGAAGTTAACAATGTATGTTATGAGTAGCAGCACAATTTTTGAAACAACTGTCTTGTATAAGGAGTGTAATTAGTGTCCATGTGCTAGTTATGGAATAAAAACAGCCAACTCAGAAAGGTCAAGTTTTGGCCTAACATTGATTTTGCCAGAAGAACCATTGTAGGTTTTGGTGAAAGCAGTTAGGCTAAATTTGTTACTGTAATAAACACCAAAATTTACAAAAAGAAAATAAACTATAGTTGGTGTAAATTAAAGAAAAAGTATGTAATTTTTTATAATGAACAATTTTATTTTGCTTTTTTTCTTTACCTCCTAGCTGCCCAGGAGGCAGAGGTAGGAGAATCGCTTGAACTCGGGGAGGTGTAGGTTGCAGTGAGCCGAGATCTCGCCATTGCACTCCAGCTTGGGCAACAAAAGTGAAACTTGGTCTCAAAAAAAAAAAAAAGAAAAGAAAAAAAACAGCGAAACAAAAAAAATTATATAGGTGGATGATGAAAGTAAAATTCATGATAACTCAAAGTCAGTATTTATAAGGTTTTCTTATGGATAGTATGATACCAATAACAAATGAAACTATTGAGGAGGTATAGTTAGGATTTAAATAGAAAGCTTTAGATCATTTTTGGAAGCTTATTTCCTTTCTATCTGAAGCTTTTAGATGGACTGTATAAAACTGGTAATACTTGACCATTTTTGAACGGTCACAGAAGTGACAATTTCCTATGGCTTAACCTGATAGTTTTTAAAAGTAATTATTTAAAAGAGTCTTGTGAATAACTGGATGCACAATAACAAAATGTTATTTCAATAACTAATTTTAGACAAAAGCGGAAGGAAAAACGCAAGAGGAAGAAATTGGAGCGACAATGTCAAGTGGAATCACACTCAGATGGAAATGACAGAAAACGTGTTCGAAGAGATGTGGTTCATAGCACCCTTCGCCTTATCATTGACTGTAGTTTTGATGACTTAATGGTATTAAAGGTATCATGAATTGTTGTCAGAAAAATCTTGTATATGAATTAGGTCGAATCATCCTTGTTTTAATATATAATATCCCTTTTATTTAACTTTATGCATTGAAATGAATCTTGAGTTTTTCCAAATTTCTTTCCCCTAAGTTAAATCAGCTAGTAAATCTCATTGATATAATGAATTTGTATATTTATGTGTGTGTGTGTGTGTATGTGTGTGTGTGTCTGTATGTGTGCAGACAGGAAAGAGAGACAAACACTTTATAGTCTAGATGACAGAACTAAATTAGCCATTTAGTAATCATAAAGATCTGTAGGGTTTTATCAGTGTTAGTGAAACATGAAAACAGTAATATTATGGCTCTAAAAGTGTTTTGTTGTTGTTTCTTAAGAGAGTAGTTGTTTTCATGAACTAGCATTTTAAATAAATACAAAATATAAAATAATGGGTCACTTACAGAGCATTAACTTATAGTAATTTTGTTAGTATGTAAGGAATCAAATAATGTTCATCAGAATGGATTTGTATTTAAGAAGAAGAATTGTATGTATATAGTCATTCCTTCTGTGTATTCCATTCCTTTAAGATCACAGAATGGCCATAGAAAATTTTAATAACTTTGCTTTAAAAATTGAACTCTGTAATAGGACATTAAGAAACTTCATAAGCAGATTCAGCGATGTTACGCAGAAAACCGACGGGCACTGCATCCTGTGCAGGTATGTCTGAAGATTTTAAAGCAGACTCTGGTTTTCTTTTATATCTTTCATGGCTAAAGACATAGATAATTCCTATAGTCTTTGCAGGAGGCTTACAGGTAATCTTGTTTAATGCCAATTTGAAAATTATTTTCTTTTTTGACAAAAATAAAGCAAAATATTTTAAACATCTTTCAGTATGTTATCTTAGACACACTCTTTCCAGTAATCATCAGTCTTATACAAATTGACCTTTTCATTGCCGTGTAGTTGAATATCTTCACTGTAGGACATACATATCTTTTTATACCAGTTTCTCAGGGCCAAAAGCTGTGGCTGCTTGATATATGCTGTGGTATCTGTTGTGTAGATTTTGTCTCCTTAAAGGTTTTTTGTTTTCTTTTGAGTCACTGAAAGTTTAGACAGGTATTTTTAAGCTGAGGTAAGGAGTGATTTGGGAGACTATTTGGCTACTGTTAAGAATAACATCTTTCTGTTGGAATTCTAGGTGACCTAAAAATTAATACTAGCTCACTGATGTTAAGAACCAGGAACTATTAATATATTTTGGTTAGATATTTTGTTTTTACCTAGTGATAGTAATTTTAGACTTTTGTATTTTTTATGTTTTATAGTTTCATACCACACTTATATGATACTCCTTATATTCCCATTTTTATCTGTAGTAGACCCTTTCTCACCCTTGATTGAGACTTAAATAGGTGTCAGGGTTTAGAATCAAAGAAAAATTATGAAGACTGCATTTGGTTTAAAAAAAAAAAAACTGGTATCAGAAAAAAAAGAATAGGAACTTGACATGGAAGCAGGGAGTTTGCAGAAAAGTGATGATTAAGGTAGAGACAAGTTATAACTACTTGTGATGAAAATGTAAATGGGATACTGCAGCTACTGGGTTATGAAACACACACACAAAACATACCATTTCTACCGCAGTTTATTGTATGCTCAAAGCATGTCACAAATTTATTTTTCTAGATCAATGAGAATAAATATATTTTGTGTTTTGTAGATTGTCAGATGAGTAAATGAGAGAAATAAAATATTAGACTCAAATGGATATTTGTTCTCTCTTTCTATACCAACAAATCTTTTATCAGTTTTACTTGACAAGCCATGGAGGCCAGCTGAAAAAGAACATGGATGAAAATGACAAAGGATGGGTCAACTGGAAGGTAATTAAAACAGATAAATTCTCACATAATTCCAGGTATTTTTATGTTTCTAAAGATCTACATTTTGTACCTAAATTGTATATAATGCTACTTAATACAACAATCTCCAGAGGTAATGGCTGAACCTAAGTCTAAGATTACAAACTGGAGATGCTGAAGAAGGGAGCAAGATATCTGGTAGTTGGTATTTGTTCTCATTAAATCTTACCTATTTTACTGTCAACTTTTAAAACATATTTTTAAAAAGAAATAGTTTTAAGGATCTTTATATGATTTTTCCCTAGCATACTAGCTAAACATTATATGTTACCTATAAAAATGGAATCACTCTAAATTTTGAAAATGTGCCTGCATTCTGTTTCTTCTTTCCCTGTCCTGGCCACTGACCACATGTGACTATTGAACTTGAAATGTGATAGTCTGAATTGTGAATTGAAATGTGCTATGAATAGGAAATACATACTGGATTTCAAAGACTCAGTACCACAGAAGAGAGAAAAAGAATGTGAATATATCCTAGATAATTTTTAAAACATTTATTAAATGTTCAAATAGTAACATTTTGGGTACACTGTGTTAAAAAAATAAATTGTTAAAATTAATTTTACCTATTTTCACTTTTTAAAATGTGGGTACTAGAATATTTAAAATTGCGTATGTCGCTTCACAGTTTTTTTGTTTTTTTGTTTTTTCTGTTGGACCAAATTGTTCTCAATCATTGGTAAAGATGACAAAATAGGTTGTCTTTGGTACCAGTCCCTGAGGAACTCGATCCTATTTAGAAAAGTCCTGGGTTATCCCTGTACTTTTTTCTTTCTCAAAATCAGTTCTCTCAGTGACACAATTTCCCTTTCAGATTCACTAATTCTATAATGAAGGCTTTTATTTTGTTAATAGTCTATGATATGAAACATTTTCAAAGGCTTTTAAGTTTTTAAGTACAATATATTTATCAAATCCTATGTTTGTGTCTGTTTTTCCAAGAAATAGTGTAATAAATTAAGAGTCATGTTTTCAGTTATTTTGCGACTTGTTAAATTTATCATTTATACCATCAGCTTTCCAGAGAGACTTGAGCTTCATTGGTCTCTAATTAATCAGGTTCCTCTTGGGGCCCTTATTAAGTATAAAGGTTAAATTTATAGTAAAACATTTTCCAGAAAAGTAGCTATTTATTAATTATACATTTTAGGAGAGAGTTCTTTTGCTTCATTCTTGGTTTCATTAAAAGTTATTGGGTAAATGTCATCTGAGCCTGGTGATACATGTTCTTTTATGCAGTCAGTGTGGGTTGCAAAATCATGACTGCCAGCTATTGTTCAATTTTATACCCATGATCTGACAGTTTTGGTGAAGAAGTTTTCAAATGTGTATCTCTTTGTAACAACAGATATATGGAATTAATTAAATCTATAAGCTGTTCCCTTTCATGATTCATGTAGATGGAGAGGAAGTAATTGGAGTAGGCATTCTTTGGTTGTAGAACAATATGAGCAAGTATGTGGCGGTAAAAATGCATTTGTTTTGTTAGAACTGAGATAAAGTTGGAAAAGTAGATTAGTGCCATATTCAGGAAAGAGTTATTAAAGAGTTTAGATTATATTCCACAGAAAAAGATAAAACATTGGAAGTCATGTTTTTAGAAAATGAGCCTGCTATCAATGTGTGGAAGTAGGTTGGAGGGGTCTCAGGCCAGCAACGAGGAAATAAAATTAAGAGGCTATTTAAATGATCAAGGTGTGAGATGATAAGGAATTGATGTAGTAAATTCTAAATAATGCATTGTAATGATTATATTCTTTTGAACTTCATTTTACATGTTTTTGGATGGATTTGTTTTGGGAAAAGAGAATAATCATTTGTAGATAATATTCATAAGATCCTGTTAATTAGTAACGTCTTTCCCCTGTGTCTTAAAGGATATCCATATCAAACCAGAGCACTACAGTGAACTCATAAAAAAAGAAGACCTGATTTATCTTACATCAGATTCACCTAATATACTGAAGGAATTAGATGAATCAAAGGCCTATGTGATTGGAGGATTAGTAGATCACAACCATTGCAAGGTACTATTAAATTTTTATTTTTGCCTTTGCTACTTAAAATTGCTATTTCAGCTTTTCCTGAAAGTAACAGTAATACTAATGATAGCTGATCTTTATTGAGTGCCTACTATATGTCAGTCACCTTTTGAGCTAAGCAAAGTATTTCACATACATTAGCTTACTTAATCTTCATTACAACCCAGTGAGTTTAGTGCTATTATCATCTACATTCCACAGGTAAGAAATTCACAGCACAGAGAAATTAAGTCTAAAATCAGTAGTAGTAGGTGACAAGGCAGCTATTTGAAACCAGGCAGATTGCTCTGAAGTCTACATGCTTAACCACTACACTTTATTGATAGGAGATACTGCTGCTAATCAGTTGCTAAGCCATTGGAATTTAAACTAGTTTTTAAATATGTTATTTTCATGAGATGTTTTTTCTATTCTCTTACGTTTGTACTTTTCTCTCCTCCCATCTATACCTTTATTTGGATGAAAAATTACAGAAATGCACTTTCTAAAAGAAAATGTCATTTTATACTTCACCGGCAATGCTGCAGCATGCAAAATTTTTCATATCTGCTCGTCCAGTATGTTAGCTCTGTGGCAATAGAGCTGCAGCTGTCCCATTGGTAACCACGTGTGACTACTTAAATTTAAATTGATTACAATTTACAAAATTCTGTTCTTCACTATGTGTGTACAAATGTGTACAGTATGACTGAAGAGCTGAATTTTATAAACTGTAATCAATTTAAGTAATCACATATGGCTACCAATTGGACAGTTGCAGCTCTGTTGCATCATAGGGAATTTTATCAGAATGATCTTTAGCCTTTTTATTTTTTTCTTAGTGGAAAAATTCTGTTTTGTTATTTATATAGAACCACATATTTTTTCATGTTTGTTTCTCTGAACTAAAACAGTTTTGTTTTCAAAAGCACCTACTTCAATCTACTAATTATTTGCCCCCCCACCCACCAAATATGTAAACCATCAGTTGAGAAATGAGCTTTTCTTTCTCCTGTACTCTGTTTGTTGACCATTTCAGTTCTGGTTAGACATAGGCTTCAAGGATTTTAATTTTGGCAAGAGATAAAATTCATATTCAGCATTTTTTTAATTTATAGAAAGGGAAAAATAAAACATCATCTGTTATTTAAAATTTCTCAATTCAAGTTTTCATTTAATTTGTTTTTGCCATTTGTATAAAGTAGTGTTACATAATTGAATTCAGTTTAAATACAGTCATACGTTGCTTAACGATGGGGGTATGTTCTGAGAATTGCACCATTAAGCGATATGAACATTATAGAGTGTACTTACAGAAACCTAGACTGTATAGCCTATTACACATAGGCTGCATGGCATAGCCTATTGCTCCTAGGCTACAAACCTATACAGAATGTTACTGTACCAAATAGCGTAGACAGTTGTAACATAATGGTCTTTGTGTTTCTAAACGTATTTAAACATAAATATTATAAAAGATTTTAAAAATTCATGTATACCTGTATAGGGGCACTTACCATGAGTGGTGCTTGCAGGACTGCAAGTTGCTCTAGGTGAGTCAGTAAGGAAGTGGCAAATAAATGTGAAGACATAGATATTACTGTGTACTACTGTAGACGTTATAAATATTATACACTTACACTACACTAATTTTTTTCTTCAGTAACGAATTAACCTTAGCTTACTGTAACTTTTTTTACTTTATAAACTTAATTTTTAAAACTTTTAGACTCTTTTGTAATAGCATTTAGCGTAAAACATAAACACATTATACAGCTGTACAAAAATATTTTCTTTCATATATCCTTATTCCATAAGCTTCTTTCTATTCTTAATTTTTTTTTAACTTTTTAAAGTTAAAATTTTTTTTCTCTTTTTCTTTAGCTTTTTAAACTTTTTTGTTAAAACAAAGACACAAACACACACATTAGCATAGGCCTACATAGAGTCAGGATCATCAATATCACTGTCGTCTACCTCTACATCTTGGTCCACTGGAAGGTCTTTAGGGGTAATGACATGCATGGAGCTGTCATCTTCTATAGTAACAGTGCCTTCTCCTGGAATGCCTCCTAAGAACCTGCCTAAGGCTGTTTTATATGTAACTATTTTTAAGAGTAGGAGAAGTATACTAATGATAAAAAGTATAGTAAATACGTAACTGGTAATATAATTTATTATTCTCAAACATTATTTACTGTACATAATTATAGTGCTGTACTTTGATGTGACGAGCAGAAGGTTTGTCAGCATCACCACAAACACGAGTAATGCATTTCAGTATGATGTTCCACAGCTCCATAGTCACTAGGTGACAGGAGTATTTCAACTCCATTATAATCTCATGGGACCACCACTGTATATGAGATCTGTTGTTGCCTGAAACTTTGTTATGCAGTGCAGGACTTTATTTTAAACTGAGATAAAGGCAGGGTAGAATGGGGAAATTAATACTTGAGTCAGGAGACACGTGAGCAGATTTTTCTTGTGGTTCTGCTGCTGAGGAGCTTTGTAACTGGGCAGGAAACATAATATTTTTGGTTTCCTAATTTGTAACTTGAGGAGATTAAAACAAATGCTCTAAACATTGACTATACTTATTGTCAAGAGAATGTTTCCAAATGAGCAGTAAAACACATACATACCCCTCTTCAGATAATATTCTCTGAACTGTACATTTTCTAAACTATAAATCTTTTCTAAAAATTATTTATACTATTACAGAGCCTTAAAATAATTTAATGTTCTTGTTGAAGTCATAGTATCTTTGTTTTAGGGTGTCACATATAAACAAGCCTCGGATTATGGAATCAATCATGCACAGCTCCCACTTGGAAATTTTGTGAAGATGAATAGTCGAAAAGTTTTGGCGGTTAATCATGGTAAGCTGTAAGGGATAAACTGAAAATATACCTGAGCGAACATTGTGAGAAAGAATATTACATTTAGTATTTGAACAGGTAGAAAGTATTACACCTTGCTGGAGACAAAATTATAAAAAGTTATTTATAATTTGTTTAACAGAAATAAGACATATTAGAAAAATTTGAAAATGTATGCAAGTATTCAAAAATTAGCTATATCTTACTACACAGAGATATTTGGTGTTAACTTTTTGGTGTTGACTTCCAGTTCTTTTCCTATGCAGATATATTATTATTTATTACATAATTGGATTTTTACTGTATTACATACAATGTTGTAAATCTGGGATATTTTCTCTCCTTTATCACTTTATTTTTTCATGTCATTGAATCATTGTTAATTGTGGCCAGGCACGGTGGCTCAGGGCTGTAATCCTAGCACTTTTGGAGACCCAGGCAGGCTGATTTCTTAAGCCTAGGAGTTTGAAAACAACCTGGACTACATGGTGAAACTTCATCTTTACAAAAAATACAATAATTAGCTGAGCATGATGGTGGGCGCTTATAGTCCCAGCTATTCAGGAGGCTTAGATGGGAGGATCACCTGAGCTCAGGAGGTCGAGGCTGCAGTGAGCTATGACTGTGCCGCTGCACTACAGCTTGGGCAACAGAGTGAGACCCTGTCTCAAATAAATAAATAAATAAATAAATAAATAAATAAATAAATAAATAAAATAAGTTATTTATTTATTTATTTTAAAAATGGTAGTCCATCATTTTAATATACAAAAATTTAAACATTCTCCCGTGGTTGAATCGTGTTTTTTTTCTTTTTACTGTTGCAAATAACATTAAAATAGACATTCGTGTACCTGTCTTCGCCTAGACTTTGCTTTAAAAAAATTCTTTAAGTCAATACACGACTACTTATTAAACGATTTTTATACACTAAATACTTCCTATATAGCAGGTTCTAGGGAGTTATATAAATGAAATTATTGATTCAACAAAGGAATTGCCTCTAAAACCTTTGATATATAGTGGAAATTACATTTTCCACAAAGTAATTCAAGTTAGCCCTTCAGCAGTATGCTGAAGTAAGAGTACCCCAGAGACAATATTGGGACTCTTTACTACAGTCAATGTATATAAAAAGAAAGAAAAGACAAAAAAAAGCAGGCAAGGAGCCCCTAGTGTCAATGGCTCTTTATAGGAAACATGAAGAAAGTTAAATAAATGCTAACCAGGTTGTTAACTTGTAAAGGATAAAGATGTGAAGGGGTCAAAAAACAGTAGGAGAGAAACTGAAAAGGTCTTTATTGATTATAATTGACATGAGATACTGGTAAATTTCTGAGTGCTTAAGAACTGAACTGAGAAAAAGCTAGATAGGTAACTGGGCTGGAGGACCTTGGGGCAAATTGGCCTTGACAGACAATAGAAAGAAGAGATAAGAACAAAGTACCGTAGTTGTTAGGACAAAATAAGAGTCTTAATACAAAGGCAATATATTTTAAAAGACAGCATGCAGCATTGTGATGAGCTTGGCTAAGAAATGTATGGAGTTTGTCTTTATTGCAGTGTTTGAGATTATTCTGGAATACCTGGAAACAAGAGACTGGCAAGAAGCATTTTTTACTGTCTTGCCCCAGCGGAAAGGAGCTGTTCCCACAGACAAAGCCTGTGAAAGTTCTCATGACAAGCAGTCTGTCAGGGTGGAGGAAGGTGGATCGGACAGTGATTCCAGTGAGGAGGAATATAGCAGAAATGAACCAGATTCACCACATGAAGAAAAGCAGGATAAGGAAAATCACACTGAATCTACAGCCAACTCTCTGCCACACTAATATTACCTGGTTTCCTTTTAGTTTAAGGAAAAATTAGGAGAAGGTGAGGTACTATATAGAATATTGAAATTGGAAGAAAATTTTATTTTCCCTTATTTCTGTTGTGAATTTTAAAACTTTTTTTTTTTTTTGGAGCTAAATGATAATAAAAAAGCCCATTAAACTTTGTAAGAAAATATTTTTTGATTTTGCATAAGAAGATTTAAATGTGTATGTGGGTTTTTGTTTTTGTTTTTAAAGCCTCAAATAGTAGTTTCTAGATAATTTTACTTTATTAGTATATTTTCATTTTCTTTCATTTTATATTTTTTAGAATGTGCCTTCTGACTTTTCAGTTTAATTATTTTGTAGTCCTGTCAACATCTTTATGATCTATTGTCTACATCTGTGAGGACACATATTCATAAATATACTGTCAATCTATCAGAATGTTGTATATGGTAGATTCCCGTCTATTTGCAGCTTTTATGTTTAACTTAGTTATTTGAAAGAAATGTAGTAATTTTAGGAAGAAGTAGCAGCGTAGTAGACATTAATAATTCATTCCTTTTGGACTGTGGAGTGCATATCTGTTCCTTCTTGTGATGCCTTTTTGTGGTTCTAAAGTAATTACTGAAGAGTTGAGAATCTCTTTAATTCATTTGTTTAGTTCTTACAATGGTGATAAGTTACTTCAATTATAAAATTGAATTTTGCAGACTAAATTATTTTATAATGCTGTTGCTATTAAAAGATCAATTTTGCCTTTACCTGCATTTAAAATGAAACAGTTCTTAGCAGCTGTGTTTTTCTTTCATATTTTTTTTTTTAAATATTTGTTGGCTTTTAAGATGAATAAAGTTTATATGTACATCTGCCTCTTCTCATATAAGAATATTCACACTAATGTATGCTTCTATAAATGACATATACATGTGAAAATATGCATGTAAATATATTTATATCTGTCCTGATCATGTATGGTTCTCAGTTATTGATAATGTGATTGATTTGCCATTTGCCATATATCTGTATTACTTGTGAATGGTTGTGTTGAACACACTAAGAGCAATTTGAATTTTATTAAGTACAAAAATCCTTAGCTAAACATTTGTATGGGAATGCTGACAAGAAAGAATAGTGTAAAAGGGAACTGTTTTAGTTTCCTAATGTGTAAGGTAAAGTGATTGGTCTCTGTCACAGCTAAAGGATTTTAGTAGCCTTCATTGAGTTTGGGTAAAACTAGTTCCTATTCTTTTGTCTTCTTTTTAATATATAAAAGTTATATTTATATTTATATATATTTTAAAAGTGCTTAACTTATACTATATATGTTACATACCAACATATATACACACAATAGAAAATTTATTGGATTTAGTATTGATATTTGCTGTCTATTTTTGTTCCTTTGTTCTTAGTAATTCATTATAGTTACCTACTTTAAGGTAAGGTTTGTAGGCAATATATGTAAGTAAAGACAAGCCCTACAATTCTAAAATAACAAAGCTTATGTCTTAAGTTATATTTTTCAAAGTTTCATGTTTTTCTGAGTAAATGTGCTTTATCATCATGAAATATTATGCCTTTTACTTAAATTATTTTATGTAGAATAGGGCACTGTTTATTATGAAAGGTGGGAAAAAATCATTCCAAATAAAAGATTAATTTTTGTTAATTATAAAAAGCCCTGTATTCGTTTCCTAGATGTGCTGTAACAAATTACCACAAACTAGGTGGATTTAAACAACAGAAATTTATTCTCTTAACAGTTCCAGAGACTAAACGTCCAGAATAAAGATGTCCCAGGGTCATGGTTCCTCCGTAGGCCCTAGGAAAGAATACTTCCTAGCCTCTTCCTGGCTTTTGGTGGTTGCCAGCAATCCTTGCTGTTCCTTAGCCTATAGTGGCTTGACTCCAGTCTCAGTTTTGTTGTCAAGTGGTCTTCTACTCTGTCTTCTATGTTTACATCAGTGTCCAAATTTCTCTCTTTTTATAAGGAGACCAGCATTGGATTAGAGTTCACCATGATCCAATATGACCTCATCTTGACTACATCTGCAAAGACCCTGTCTCCAAATAAGGTCACATTTACAGGTACCATGTATTAGGATTTGACATATATTTTGGGGTACACAATTCTACCCACTACAGGCCCATATCTAGGCTATTGGTGGCAAGAAGGCAAATATTACTACCTAGTTTCTGAGATATTTTAAAATTTGGTTTTAAAAAAATTAAACTTTTTTCTCATTTTAATGTATCCTTTTCTCTCAGCATTGTTTTGGTGTATTTAGGTTCTTTTTTTGTTAAAGCTTCAGTAGATATTGAAGTTACTTGTATTGGAACAAAGTTAGGGAAGTAAACTACTTAAATAAATGTATCAGAAAATATATGTCTGCTGAAATATAGAATTTCCTCACATTTAACTTCTTTAATAACTTACAGTCATCATAAAGCAAGCTCATTCTTAAGAGAAGAACCATTCCTCATTCTTATTCTCCAGAGATTGGTGCTGTTGACATTATAGCATTTGAAAATGCTCAGAATGGAAAAACCAAAAATGAGAAAAGAAAGCAGTTCTAGTGAATAAATGTCTTTTGGGAGATGAATGAACAATGATGAAATCCACCATTGACTGGTAGTTATAAAGCAAAGTGACATACGATTTCACTTTATACACAGGAAAGGTCACAGAAATTATGTAGATAAAAGGCAAGAATTGTCTATAGAGCCCTGAGACAGTACACAGACAACAGGTGTAAAATGAGATTTAAAAAAAGAAAGAAAGAAAATGGCAGGGATTCAAATTAAGGGCAGCAAAGGTCATTAAACTTTGATTCCAGTTAGCATACAGGTATTTATCTCTAGTTTCCTATCTCACTGTCAGACACATACAGTGATAATAATGTGAAGAAGAGAAGCAGTGACAAAATCAAAAGGTGGTACATTGACAGAATCAATGGAAACAGTAGGAAATTGGACTAAGCGTAAACCTTGCACTGCCACTGTTAATTGTGGGACTTTGGATGAGTTAGTCAACCTTTTTGTTAGGTCTCAGTATTTTTATACGTAAGATTGAAATGTTATTCCATCTACTCTGTCTCTTACGGTTTGAGCAAACAATTGTCAAGCAGTAGCTAATGATAATGCTTGATTTGGCTTTCTCATTTCTTGCTTCATTTCCCTTGTTTCTCAGTCTTTTTGACATTGCCTGCTCTAAAATAGTAATAATATATAGGCTTTTGTTTCAGGCTTTACTTTCTGAGGAAGCCAGGCTTAGATATAATTTTTAAAATGTAAACTTTCTAAATTACCAAATGAACACTCACTAAACAAAACAAGGAAATTGCAGATCATTTAGTGGAACACTTATTAAAGCAACAAAAAATGCTAACATTAAACACAATCACATGACAAAATCTGTATGTCCTATCAGCAAATTTAAATGGTCTAAAAATCTCCGAAATTGGATTTAAAAAAGAAATATGTGCTGTATTTAAAGTTACTCAGCAATATTGAAAATAAAAAGCAGAAAAAGACATACCAGGCTAATAAAATGAAGACAGAAGTCACAATGTTAGCATTGGATAAAGTTCAACACATTATAAATAAGGCAAAGGAGAAGAACATGTTGTAATGGTCAAGAATGCAATCCTTAGGAAAGATCTAATCATTTTGATTATGCATCAGGTAACATAGTATTCAAAGTTATTGAGAGAAAACTTTGGCAATTACGTGAGACAACACATCAGTATAAGGGGTCTTTAACTAATACTTCTCAACCTATTACAATGCAAGTAGACAAAAGATGAATATATGGAAAATATACATGCTATAATTACTAATACAGATAGTGATACCAAATTTTGTAGGCTGAAAACAAAAAATCCAACTTGTATTCTAGTGTCCATGGAATATTCATAAAATAACCATATTTGACCACAAGGAAGAATTTCCAAAGTAAAAATACAGGTAGCTTCTCTGATAACAATACACTAAACTGGAAAATAAACTTGGTGAGATGGGATGAAAGCCTTACATTTAATTTTTTTTTTCCTCAAGAACTTATTAGATAAAAGAGGAAATCAAATCTGAAATTATATAATATTTTGAAAATAGAGACAATAAAAACACTACATATCAGATCCATAGATCTACATAAAGCTGTGAATAGAGAAAAATAAATTACCTTAAAAATTTATGCTAATATAAGAGAATGAGTGAATATAAACAAATTAAGATTTGACCCAAGGTGTTGGAACAATAATGAACCTAAAGATATAAAAAATGGAACTTAAAGATATTAAGAAATGAAAAGAGATACAAAAATAGTAAAATTGTTGGACATAAAAATAAATCCAAGACCAGTTTTTTTGAAAATGGTAGCAAAATGTGAAGTCATTAGCTAACTGAATCAAGAAAAAAATTACAAATACATAAAAATGAGAATTGCAGAATAAATTTAATGAATTAGGAGATAAATCTCTCAATTCTATGAAATTTGGACACCTGGATGAAATGGATAATTTTCTAGGAAAATATAAACTTCCAAAATTGACCCTCCTCTCCAAAAATACCAAAAATATAAATAGACCAGTTACCACAGTAGAAATAAAATTGTCAAAGAGCTACAACCCTCCAAAACACAAAAACTATGTGGTCTGATAGATGAATTTTAGCAAAATGATAAGGAAAAAGAATTGGCGATGCTATTATAATTTCTTCATAACAAAAGAAGGAGAGCACTTTATTAATTTTATGAGTTGAGCATAATCTTGATATTTATCAGTAGCACCTAGTGCTTAAGCACGTAGATTCTAGCCATACTTTGAGCCAATCATGAAATCTTTGTGTCAAAAGCTAGTTTTTCTTAACATAGAACATAGCTATAGTTGGAATATGGTTCCTACTCGAGTTTTTAATCAGCTTCTCTTTCAGCTATACTAATTCTCAAGGATGGACGATAACTAGAAGTGATGTTTACCATTTCAAGGCCAAGACTTTAAGCAGATATATCCTCCTTGTGGAAGGCATAATAAGATCCTAATTCCCCGAACCTTTGAATTTGTTAAGTTAGATGGTAAGGGGGAATTTAAGGTGGCAGGTAGAATTAAATTGCTAATCAGCTGACCTTAAATGAAGGAGATTTTCTTGAATAAGCTGGATAACAGGCCCAATGCAATCACAAAGGTCCAAAATTAAAAGATGGAGGCAGAAGAGTCAGCATCAGAGTGATTTGTTACAAGAACAACTTGACTGGCCATTGCTGACTTTGAAGTTGAAAGAGAGCCATGAACCGAGGCGTGTAGATAGCCTCTAGAAAATGGAACAGGTAAGAAAACAAACAGTCCCCTAGAGCTTAGGAAAGGAATGCAGTCCTGCCCCACCTTGATTTTAGCCGACTAAGACCCATTTCAGACCTCTGCCTACAGAATTGTGAGAGAATACATTTGTGTTGCATGAAGTCACTAAGTTTGTGGTAATTTGTTACATCAGCAATAAGAAACTAACACTTCACTCTCATTTTTCTTTTGCCAGCATGGTACAGTTGACAGTGGAGCTCTAGGTGTTGGTTCAGCCACCAGATGGAAGGATCCTGGGCCTCTAAATCACCAAGTAAAGCAAAGTCATCTTTGAAACACACACTTTGGACTCTCATGTGAGAAATAATTGTGTTTGAATGATGGCATTTGTTACAACTTACCCCATCACAATGAGTTCAAATCTGTGCCTCAGCTTTCTTATTTTAAATAATGAGAAAAATAAGAGTAGTTACCTCAAACAGTCTTTATGAAAATTAGTTATTAGATCTTAAGTGTTTAGAATGATTCCTGACACCTAGTAAATATGTTATTAAAATTTAATGTACACATAGACATGCATACACATGAACACACCACACACTGAATTTATATGGTGTCTCTGATGAACATCAGTGCAAACATTCTAAATAAAGGATTGGCTTATTGGTAGATAGACTACAGCAGCACACTCAAAGAATGATATCTGTGGCCCAAGAGTGGTTTCTTTTAAAAGTACAAAAAATTCAGTATTATGAAATGTTAATGTCCACCATTAGCATTGACTGAAAACTAGCTTATTTCTGGCTCATGAGTTAGAAACAATTTGTATATGTTTTCTTTTTGAAGGGGAGGGGAGCATTTTTTATAATAGTTCAACAACAGTGAGACACTGGATGGTAAAAATCAGCTCACATGTTAAAATTCTGTTGTTGGTATTTATTTATTTTGTGGTGGTGGTGGTTTTTAATTTTTTGTTCTTTGTTCCCCCCTTCCCCCAACAGAGTTTGGGTTAGGTGTCAAACTGTAACTGCCTAATTCTGATTATGGATGATTTTTCTAGTATCAGGGCTTTATGCTCATGTACTAACAGTGCAAGACTGGAAACATAGTATATAAATAAACATACTTCTTTTACACATCTTATTAGCTACAAATGGAAATATCATCTCCAGTAATATTTATTTGTAGCATTATATACAGATGTTTTTAGATTTACATGTGCCACCATAAAGAGGACCACTTGATTCCTCAGTACCAAAACTATTTATTTGAAAAATAATTCAGTGATGTAAATGTGAAGTTCATATTCATGAAAGAATTCACTTAGTCTAGAACTTCTACCTTCGATATGTTGAAGGATAAATTGCTCTTTGGGGACAGAGGTTGTATTCTTGTATAGTCCTTGCTGACGCTGGTTTTGCTGATCCACTCTCCTGAGTGTTAGGCCTGGGAGGAGACTTTGGTTTGCTGAAATATTCTGCAACAGGTATTTTGATATTATTTCTTCTTATAAACAATGGAGGCTTGTGCTCAGTCTCTGAAATAGAAAAAAAATCTAAATAAGACCATATTTGAGACACTGAACACAGCTTCTCCATGTTTTAGTAGTAAATGATCTACAAGAAACTATATGAAGTTTAGGTGAATTAGATACACCCAGAATTCATAAAAGAATATGTTTCAGCCAGGCATGGTGGCTCATGCCTGTAATCTTAGCACTTTGGGAGGCCAAGGTGGGTGAATCACAAGGTCAGGAGATCGGGACCATCCTGGCCAACATAGTGAAACTGTGTCTCTACTAATAATACAAAAATTAGCTGGGCATAGTAACATGCACCTGTAGTCCCAGCTACTCAGGAGGCTGAGGCAGGAGAATCACTTGAACCCAGGAGGCAGAGGTTGTAGTGAGCCAACATCATGCCACTGCGCTCCAGCCTGGCAATAGAGTGAGACTCCATCTCCAAAAAAAAAGAAAATAAATTTCTTTCTTTTTTCCTTTCTTTCTTTCCACATGCTCATCTTTAATGAGTTATTTGTTCTCTAACATGCAGGATACATTCTTCACTCAAAAGTAAACACGATTTTGATTGGAATGATATAGAGTTGGTTATGTTTAAGAGTGATGGGTGAGGATGGGACAGTGAGAGAAAGAAGGAAGACCTGTGGTCCTAATAGATACCACAAGAGAAGAGACAAGCAGGCTAAAACAAGTTAATTGTGCTCATAAGACCTACATAGTTGCACCCAAGCAGGAATAGGGATGTGAGGAGATGCTGAATATCAACATGGAGAGAAAGGGGCATGACTTGGGAATTCTTATACAAAAAAGTTCCAAGTATCTAAGTGATAAAATACGTGTGGGCCTCACAGGTAAGAAATAAAGTTGAATAATAGAAACCATCACTATCGTGATGTTACAGTCCCAGAATGAGGGGTTTGGTAGGAGAGGCCAGATACAATAGACTGTCCTTGAAGTCTGAGTAAGGGAGTACTTTGTAATTTTTAAACTGTACTTATTATTGGCTATTAACAGATGGTGCCTCTTTGAGTTTGGTTAATCACAGTGGAACTTGCTGGGGTCTAGGGTGACCTTAATGAGCTCTGATTGATTATATATCATATATCATTCCTGATATAAAGGGAACTTGTAGAAATAACAAGATAGATTTTTGTGTAAAGCTTGTAGATATGCTTCATAGTTGTCGCTCTGTTGTCATGAATGCTCTGCTTGCTTTAAAGCTAGAAGCTGCCAAACCTACAAGGATTCTTTGTTTGGGCTATTTTTAACCTAGGTAGGACTTTCCACAATTCATGATTCTCCCTGGTACCCCTACAGACTGGAGCTGGGCTTCTGGTAGGACACAAAACTGCTGTTTTCTATTTATTTTCAGCTGTCTCGTAGTTACTTGCTTGTGGCTGATTGCCATTTTACCCTTCTCTCTGGTTGATTTTCTTTCCAGTGAAATTATTTAGCTCCATTAAGCTGTGAAGAACTAAAACTCTGAGATCATTGTCCTTTTGTTAGGTCAATACAGGGTTTCCCTTTTCACTGAATTGCTAAAACCAAATCTGTAGTTGCTGTTGTCCTGCTGTCTTGCTTCTCAAAGAGTGTCTGTCCCTGATCAGACACTTTGCCTTTCAAAACAAAGGTAAATTTATCTTTATGAGAAAGTCAGCAGATGCTTTCTCAAGAATTGATCTAGAAATTAGTATTGTATTTTTCTGTTTTTTAAAAGCACTGATCCTTAAAATCTATTCCCTAAGTCGTTAGTACTTACTGGTTTCTTAATACCAACTCAGTAGTTACCAAAAACTGTACTTAACCTTTTGGTACTTCCTTGTTTTCTTCAGATCCTTGACTTGACACTCTATATCAGTTGGAGAAAGAAAAAAGTGAATTTCACAGATACAAGTATTTTCTGTAGACTACACTGTCATCAGTAAGTTCAGTATATATGTATCTTAAATATGCTACCCCAATTCTTTGGTTTTTTTTTTAATGTATACAGTATTAAATTTACTTCCCAATGAAAAATTCTTCTTACTTTGAGTAAATATCTAACTATTGTTTTATATGTATAGTCATTAAGGTAGAGATTTCAGTTTCTGATTTTATGGACACTTTAAAATAGGGACAATTAGTAATACAATTTTTTTCTGTTTTAATGCTTTTTAAAGTGACATATTTGTATTTTCAAAACGTAATTTTTTTCTAACTTGAAGCTTTACTCAACTTTTTAAAGCAACAAAATTTTCTCTGCAAGCTTAAATAACATCTCCACACATTCTTTTACCATGACTCTACATAAATATTTTTCTTCTGTTATTGAAATTATATCATTTAATAAAAATTTCTCCTGCAGTAATTTCAATCATTTTAGTAATTATTTTTCTCTCTGGAAGCCCCAGGAGTAAATCAAAGAAATTTAAGTGAAGCAATTTATTTTAATTTTGCATTGCTCTACACAAAAAAGTGAAACCTGTGTGATATGCATTTAACAAAATATACAATAACTGTAACAATGCAATTTTGATTTCCTTAATTACATCTACTTTAGTTAAACTATAAAAACCTTTATTATCTTAGATTTCTAGGTAGCCATTCTTGCTTTTTTCTTACTGGAAAAATAATTTTCCTTAAAAAGAAAGCTTACCAGATAAGAAACACATAGTTTCTGCCAAAATGTTCTAAACAATAGAATTGAGAACAATTTTTATATTACATTTACGAAAATGAAAGCAAACAAATATATATTGCAGTCATTTACTGAGTAAAGAGGCGCTTTAGAACCTCATGTTTAGCATTTTGAAACTTAACGAGAATTCAAAGTCTTCATGTGTCATAGATTCTCCCTCTAGGGGACCATCATATCTAATTACCTGGTTGGTTGATGCTCTTCTGTATCTCTGGTCAGCACTTTTGATTTTGCGGGTAAATTTGGAGGCGATTTAACTGTGGGTGGTGATTTAACTGTGGGTGGTTTCCCAGTCTCTGCTGCTGGTTCCATTGAGGTGTTTCTTCTGTGATGAGTCAACAGGTTTATCTCAGCAAGCTCAGAATGAATCAAAGCTGAGACCCACTCTTTTTCTGGTTTAAAAGACAAAAAAGGGTGGGGGGAGTGAATGTTGCAATTATCATGTTGGCTAGAAACACAGGATTATCCAGCTCCTGAGTGTGAAAGACTGGTCACCTATTTTCTGGGTGGTTACCGATGTGGGAGTAAAGATTGTTGCAGAAAAGTTGGTTCACTTCAACCTAGTTTCTGTTGACCTTTGATACTGTAGAGTGCCCAGATTAGTTAACTCACTGAGGTACTTGCCCCTGAATAGCAGTGGAATCATTTTAAAATATTGAGTACAGTAGCCAGTCTTACAAGCTGCTGCCAAAGATGTAAGGATATCTATACAAAAATAAGAAGTACAGTATGATTCCATTAAAATACAGACTAATAGGTAATAAATAGTTACAAGCATATATAGATAGATACACACCAAAGTATTCACTGAAATGATGTCTGTGGTAATTTTATTGATGATTTCTTTTCTGTCTCATCTCTTTTTTTCTTTCTTGTTCATCTGTTCTTTCTCCCAACAATAAGGATTTATTACTTGTATAGTTTATTAAATGTTACATTCTTAAAAAGGAAAAATAATTAGAAGATTGCTAAAGACCCATTGCCCCTAAGCACTTCTCAATTGCCTAAAAAGTAGTATTGAATTCCTGGGGCAAGGTAATATTTCCAAAATGTCTCCTATTTTAAATTAGGCTGTTCCTCACACATTGGTGCTTCCTAACATTGATCAGTGCAGTGATTCTCAGAGTGGTCCTGAGACCAGCATTATCAGCATCACCTGGGAACTTATCAGAAATGCAAATTCGCAAATCCCACCACAGAGATTTTGCCTTAGTCAGTCTGATAAGCAGCTACATTTGAGGATAGCTGTTCTCTGCCATTTATCATTGTCTAGATTGGGAATGGCATGTGTTTTCATGGAACAGGCCAGGAAGGGCCCAAAACAGGCTGAGAGATGACTGAGTTGATGGTTTTGCAGGGCAATTGGTAGAGTTGTTACAAGTAACAAGAGTTGTTACTTGGATGGCTGTTCTGTTGTTCTTACCAAAGAAAAGAAATAAGCTTTGTGTTCAGAGTTAGCAACAGCCCAGAGGATGTACTCAGCAAGGCCCCTGGGTGTGTGGACTCTGGAGGAACACAAACTAACTCTAGCTGAGAATAAGACCTCCCTTGGACACAAGTGTTTCATGTCACCCAAATGAGTTCAATTTAAGGCATACTGAATTTTGAGTTCTTTGAATGACCCACATACATGCAGCTGGATATGCAGGACAGCAATTATTCTGATACTGAAACACTGAGGAAATAATTAATATTGCAACATTTTCTTTGCAAATCCAAGGTACAAAACTTCAGATATTGATTGACATATTCCCAATTTCTGACAGTAAATTGAGCTGTGTTTTAAAATGTGTATCTTAATCGCACCTTTTGAACTTGCATGAAGTAGCCACTGTAAAACTTCTGCCAGTGAATCAGTTTGTAAAATGTCACAGAGCTTTGCCAGGATCTGATGGAGAACATTAGAGTTACATATGGGCAAATAAACAATACAAGGCTTATAAGGTTTTCTTTACTCTCTCCAGAATCCCATCATCCCAAATATCACTCTGTATATGATGTGCTATTAAGTCAATTGGGATTTTCAACTCAGGAGCTCAATTTCAAATAGTACACAGTAGAATCGTAGTGAAAACAACATTTCCAGTACAATTAACACTTTAGGGCAGGCTATGGAGTGTGTTTGTCTTGTTTTGTCTGTTCAGAAGCAGCATCTTCTAGCAGGAATATACTTCTGGTGAATTTATCTTTCCCACTGTACCAGAGGGTTCTAATGGGAATCCATCAGTTACAGGACTGGCTCATCTTCCCTGCTCCTCTCCATAGACTGAGAGAGAGGGATGTTTTACCTCAATTCTTGAACATAGTGATTGGCCCAATGGAATAGGAATGTAATTCCTGTTAGTTAATTAGAATCCTTCCTTGAGATTTTTTTTTTAAATTCTGGAGCTATAGGCTTAAGTGTAGGTGACAGTGGAGATAGAAATATGAAATAATTAATTCTAATAAAAGTGGGCTATAATAAGCATTAAAAGTACAGTTTCCAGATTGAGTCTTTCTTGTGTCTGCTGTTAGAATTTAAACACATCTGTTATTCATATCTGTATCCTGAACTTCAGTCCTATATATCCATCTGCCTATCAGATGTATTCACTTAGCTATAGTAGAGGTATTTTGGACATGAAATATGTAAAACAAAACCCACGTTTCTCTTCCTAAAACCTGCACCAAACTTACTTTTCCTCTTCGTTCCCCTGTCTCAATGAACAGCACCAACATACATTAAATTGTCCAAGCCAGATGCTGAGATTCATCCTGGACAACTCCCTTGCCCTTTTCAAAAACATAATGTCAAACAATAAGTTCAGTAAATTCTGCCTTCTAAATATTTCTCAAATCACTCCATTTTTCTTCATCCCTATTGTCTTGACCCAGGCTAAAGCAACATCAAATCTGGTTTGAGCTACTACAACATTGATTCTCTTAGTATTTCTGCCTAAAGTCTTAAATTATTAATTCAACAAATATTTGTTAGTCATTGATCTGGATGCTGGAGATAGAGAAGCAAAATTAAAGGGCTGAAAGTCAACTGCCCTGTATTGAACTTTGTTATTATGTTAAGATATCTGTCTTTGATAATGCCATATCCGAAAGAGAGCAAGTTAGATTTGCTCCTAATTTCACAACAAATCAAAAACTGTGGCAAAAATAGAAAAAGAGCTTCACAGTATTTTCTAAGCCGTTCTGCCTCTATGGATTTTTTCATCAATATAGTGATTGCACATCACTCCTAGCTTCTAATTAATAGATCACTAATTGATCAACAACATCCTGGAGAATATAATTATCCTTTTAGTGAGAGGATGTAGAATATGTCTTCCTGGGAAACCACCTGCACTCTCTGTTACAGAAACCTAAGCGGATGCACAATGAACACAGCAGCTTCCAATCCCCTGAGATAAACATTTGTTTCTGCAGCTTGGGGCAGGGATAACTATGCCTGTAAACTGGGTTCTGAGTGTCAAAGATATTATAGCTTTTCCAAAGGGTCACAAATCGAGTCTTGATCAGATCTGGAGAAATGGAAAATTATTCAATGAGTAGATTCTCTCTGTGATTCCACCTGTGGAAGTCTATTGAACTCAGTCTGTGGAAACCCTCAAAAAATTATTATTCAGTGATCTCATGATTTCTAGGGGCAGAGAAACCTTAATTCCTCAAGGTAACCTCATGTTTCTTTTGCCATAGAAGTAACTGAAAAACTGTATGTCAGTTTCTCTGTATCATCTTGGTTGGCAAAAACTCAAAGCAGACTACCACAAAGTCTCTGGAATTGAAAACTCCTCTTCCAACTCTAGAGGGTAGGTTCTCAGCATCAGAGATACCATTGTCCAGCAAAGATTCTGGGGATTATCGCCTTGGTACTTACCATAAAAGTTGTCCTGGCATCCTGCCTTCACAGGACTTTGCAATTCTCATTCTAACAATCATATTTTCCCAAGTGGTTCCTGACCTTGAGTGCCTGTCCTGAACATATTTCATGAAGTGGCATAATGTATATGATTCATATCTTCCCTTCTTTACTGGCATTTTTCTGTGCTCACAAGTCTGTGTTCTCTAAAGTGGCATAATGTATGTGATTCATATCTTCCCTTCTTTATTGGCATTATTCTATACTCACAAGTCTGTGTGCTCTAAGGATGAGTGAAAATTTTAACAGATATGAAAATTCCTTAATCAAACTTGAAACTTTTTCAATTACTCCCCCTAGGGGGAAGGTACCTGGTCATTGGACCTATTCGATTAGAAATCGAAGTCAAGGATCCAGCCTCAGTTTTTCTTTCAAGGCACAAAAGCCTTGAAAGGGAGTGTGCAAAGAACATGGTTCAGCACCTCTTTAATAATACATTTCCCCTCCCAAGTCATAAGGTCAGGTCTGGCAGGATTTAGTGACTCTGAATCTCTGTAAAGAGTGGTCACAGGGGAAATAAATTGGTGGTATTAAAGCACATTACCAGAAGAAACTACCCAAACCTGGGATTAGAGATTTGAGTGGCAATGAACTGGATTGCTAAGAAACTGTCTCCTCTAGTCAAAGAAAACTGGTTTTGCCAGGTTCTGGAATAGGAGACTTGTATCCCTATGTTTGTCCAAACATTTTTTTTTAAATTGAAAACCTAGGAGTGAATTATCTGACAGTGTTTATTCATATTTACTCCTAAAAAGAGATGTTAAATTATTTATTGGCTGATTATTTAACATAGGAAATGAAGGTGTTGCCATTTACTCTGCACATCGATATCAAAATAAATAATTCTAAATATTCGCTAATTATCAACCCCAAATATTTAAAGAAGCTGAAATAATGACCCTTGTTAAAAATTATTATCTAACTTGTCAATCCTTGTCTTTTTATTAGAGTTTTTAGTCTATTTATCCTTTGGTATAGTTTT